AACAGGGTAAGTAATCAACAAAGTCACATATTATTATTATTGTCACAAATACATATGCTGGGAGTCTGAATAAGTTTCCTGCAGTTGGAAGTGGAATACAGTCATACATCACATAACAATGGGGAAAAGTGCTGAGAAACGTGTCATTAGGCAATTTTGTTGGTTTGCGAACATCACAGAGTGTACTTACAGAAGCCTAGATGGTATAGCCTACTACACACCAAGATTATATATTATAGCCTGTTGCTCCTAGCCTACAAACCTGTACCACACATTACTGTACTAAATAAGCAACTGTAACAAAATGGTATTTGTGTAGCTAAACATAAACCTAAACATAGAACAGATACAGCAAAAACAGGGTATTATAATTTATAGGACCACCCCTGTATCTGTGGTGACTGTTGACTGAAATGTCATGCGGCACATGACTTTATTTGTTTAGAGGTTCTAGCAAGGGAACTTAGCTACAAAGAAAAGTCCTTACCTTTGTAAGGTTATGTGAAGTTATGATCTCTAACTGACTGGCAGCATCAGGAAGTGTAAACACAGAAAGGTGAGGAAGGAAGGGTTTGCCATGTGTTCATATCAGTTTAGTTAGCTTAATATCAAAAGATTATAATTTAGATAATAAAGTATAATAATAAAAGTAAAAATTCTGGTCAATTTTCTCTTCCATATTCCTTTGCCACTTTCTTAAGTCATTGATGACGACTTAAGGTTCCTCAGGTGCAGCATACTTTTACCTATTTTCTCCTTTGTTACCACTTACAGACTAAGATCTCTAAGAACAGAGGCTCTGTTTGTCTTGCACATTATTTTATCTTAGCGTCTAGAAAACCCTGGCACATAGTATGCAGGCAAGAACTATCTGTTGAATAAATGTAGTCTATATTGGCAGCTGCTTCAAGTACTGGCTAAAGGGTCTGGGTAGAGTATTGGAAGGAGAATTATTTTTTAAATCTTGCTTCTGCCACTTAGTTATCTGTGGGATTTTGGAAAGTTACTCAATTTCTAAGATTTGGCCGGGTGCGGTGGCTCATGCCTGTAATCCCAGCACTTTGGGAGGCCGAGGTGGGCAGATCATGAGGTGAGGAGATCCAGACCACTCTGGCTGACATGGTGAAACCCCATCTCTACTAAAAGTACAAAAAATTAGCCAGGCGTGGTGGTGGGTGGGTGCCTGTAGTCCCAGCTACTCGGGAGGTTGAGGCAGGAGAATGGTGTGAACCCGGGAGGCGGAGCTTGCAGTGAGCCGAGATTGCGCCACTGCGCTCCAGCCTGGGCAGCAGAGTGAGATTCTGTCTCAAAAAAATAAAAATAAAAAGTAATTTCTAAGACTTGTCTGTTTTCTTGTATTGGATGGGCACGATACTTGGGCATGATATTTTTTGAAGTTATTGTTATGAGCATTAAATTTTTAAAGTGTAGTGTTTCTAGCACATAGGAGGCATTAAAAAAACTTGTTCCTTCTCCCAACACTCCCTGCCTCTCTACAACATACCTTTTAGTCGGAAAAGCCTAAGAAATATCTAGGAAATATGTTATTCAAGTTTTTTCCTTCTGTTTTTGGTCTGCTCCTTTACAATCAAAATAAAGAGACCTTCAAGTTGAAAACTGACTAGTTCCCAAAGGACTGATAGGTTCACTGTAAATAGTGTTTAACACTTAGAACCTCTATGCTTGACACACAGTTCAATACATAGTTTTTGAAAGAGTAAATTAATTAAGAAGGTCCAAAATAAGGATGATGCTCTTAACAGATAATTATGGGATGGACATACTTTATTTATTTATTTTTAGAGGCAGTGTCTTGCTCTGTCATCCAGGCTGGAATGCAATGATAGGATCATAATTCACTGCAGGCTTAAACTCCTGGACTCAAGGAATCCTCCTGCTTCAGCCTCCCAAGTAGCTATGACTATAGGCTTATGCCTCCATGCCCAGCAGACATGCTATATGTGTGAAAAAGTGGGCAGATTTTATCAAATGAGAGGTTTGGAGTGATGGTGTGTCTGAATGTGTGATTTCAAAGCGTTCTCATTCATTCATTCAATCACCATCTACTGTGTATCTACCTTGCATCAACCATAACACTAGCATGGATGTATCTCTGCACCCCCATGTTAGTGCAATTAGTCAATCACAATAACAATTAGATAACAGAAGGATATATAAGATATGAGTAACAAAAGGAAACCAGTAACTGCTTATTGGGATGTGAAACAGCATGACATCCAAGTATGTCAAGTAGTGTGATATTGGCTGGAGTGCATTTAAAGGAATCAGAAGAGATGAGGCTTAACAAGTAGCAGGTAGGTAGGGGAATTTAGAGGAATGGGAAGAGACAAGGCTCAACAGGTTTAGGTGGCCATATGAGTTGGCATATGTGGAACTTCAGGTAAGATATTTCTTGAATAGACCGAGGAAACTGACACAGAGAAAACTTAAGTATATAAGATAAAGTAGGTCAGTAATGCCTATTCTTAGCTCTAATTCCCCATCTTCTTCTAAATTGCTCCATATATTTCATTTCACAATTACACATAAACCTCTACAACAGTCACTGATTATTTACATACTTAGAAACTTCTAAAACGGGGCCAGATCATGAAGAACCATGTATGCCATGTTGAGAGTCCTTAATTTCATCCTGTAGGGTAGCGATGGGGGAGCTAATGGAAGATTTTAAAGCAAAGAAAAGACAATCACATTTTAGTTTCAGAAATATCTGAATTGGAGAGTCAGGGTATAAAAGACACGGAATCAGCTAAGAAGTTACTAAAATAGTCTAGTACAACAGAGATCATAAAGGCTGGAACTAAGGCAACAGAAGTGGTGTTAGAGATGGGATGTGTTTGAGAGTAGGTTAGGCTTGATGAGGGAAATAAAACAGAAGGAGAACTCTGAATCACAGCTTTCTGAGGGGAGCTTCTGGGCATGTGGTGAGGCCATTAACAGATACAGGGAACAGTGTGGATTAAAGATGTAGGATGCTGGGCAAGGGCAAGAGAAGTTCAGTTTTGGCCATGGTGAGTTGGCATCTGTGGAACTTCAGGTAGAGATATTTCCTGAAGAGACCAAGGAAACTGACATAGAGGACACTTAAACATGTAAGACAAAATAGGTCAGTAATGTCTATCCTTAGAACAATTCCCCATCTTCTTCTAAATTTCTCCATAGATTTCAGTTCACAACTACACATAATCCTCTTCAATGATTACTGATTATTTACATAGTTAGAAACTTCTACCATGTATACTTGGAAAAAATAAAATGATATTTCTAACAGCAGCCTGTTAATAGGGTAAACATGTCAACAATTTTTGTCATAAAAGTGGTCTGAAAGAACCACTTTTGGTAAAAGTAGCAGTGTAATACTTTCCTGTTATGTACTTAGGAATGACTGACATTTTCCCTAAGGATAAAATATTCACCTGTTGATAGCTAGACCATGTTAGTGTTGACCTCAGTTTGGGGTTTACCAATGCAGAGGATCAAGCCAACCAGTAACTTATACAGTGGAACCCACAGACCAGTAGCAATGATGGCTGATAACATGTCTTGAAAATTTGGTAATTCCACTGCCCAATGGAGATGGGGCAGTAAACTGGGCACCAAACCACAGATGGATTGCAGTACAGTGAAGGAAGTCATTATAGTTTTGTGAAATTGGAGGCTGGCTTGACAAAGATGAAGCCCGCTGGGATTAAGAACTGTGTGTTCTTGGCAAGAGCATGTTGCTGCAGAATTTCACCAGCCATAGTGGGGAAAAAAGGGGGGTGAGGGGGTGTGGGGAATATGGAATGGGAGACCACAAAATTCCTGATATGATACATAAAATGTTAAATATCTATCAGCTTTGCATCCTTTGAGAGTCACCAGATTGAAGCACAGTATTTTGGATTTGGCTGGCAGATGGTGTACACAGACTTTGAGAATGTTAGCATTTCATTTGAAACTAGCAAGATTACATGTGACTATCATGGTAACTTAACACTCAAGAGATTTTTCAACTTATCCCTAACCCTGGGTTAAATGTAGGGGCTCTAATAACATATAAAAGGCTTTGTTATGTATGGTCTGGGTCTCATTCAATAGTATTTCAGGATATAATACTTCTTTTAAAATGTCCACAGGGCAGTGTCAACGTCTTTCCATGGAAATCTGGCTCACCCAATAAGAGAAAAGAGGCCAAGGAAAGAAAGACTAAACCAAGAGAGATGGCAGGCAGTGATGTCTGGACTATTTGAATAGGACTTCTCCATTTACCGCCCCTCTCACTTCCTTCTATGGTCTGGACCTTTAATCACCACAGCAGTCAGCCATGTAGGGTCAAGCTAATCGCTGTTGACATCATCCTACTACTTCCCTTTTCAAATTCCAGTGAAGCTATGTGTTTCCTGTCCTATTCCACACCCTAGAGAATGAATACGGGCCAGCTAGTATCTAAATTTAGAATGGCAGCAACGTGTCGGGTTTTCGGAGTAGAGATAAACAAAACCAGGTGACATTTCCAAGCCTCTCAAGGAAAGGGGGGAAAAAAAAACCTTTCTGGGGTAAGTAAATAAGGAGAGCTTCAATAGTTCCACGGTAGAGAGAGGCCTGCTGGCAGGTTCAGAAAATAGGCCGCCTGGAACCTTCTTCTTTAAGCCAGGAGGGCGGCTTTGGGAGGCGTCTCGAAATACATTCTTGACTCTGCTAGGAAAGCTCGGGGAGCCAGAGGCCTAATACCCCCGACTTCAGGGGAAGCTGTGACGGCAGCTGCACCTCCTTTGTCAGGCTGTTGGTTTCAACCACAGACACGAGGACACACTTGAGTTGGGGGTAAGTGGAGAAGCCTGCCGCCCCGCCCCCAGCACGCCGCCCTCGCCATTTCTCTCCCGCCCCGCCCCCCGTCTGTGACCCCGCGGGCCGAGCCTCAGGCGACCTGTTGGCAGGGAGAGTCACGTGACGCGCCGGCTGCGCACTCCCCTCGGGCGGGCCTCCTGTTGCGCCTGCCTGGCGAGTTCCATCACGTAACGCGCGGGCGCCGCCCCGCTCTTCCCTCGTTGAGCGAGGGAGGGCGGGCGTCGAAGAGGAAAGGGAAGGGGAAAGGGGCGGGAGAAGGGAGGAGGGGCGGTGTCCGAGTCACGTGACCCGGGGGCAGCCCGGAAAGCTCCGAGGAGGAGCCTGGCGCCGCCATTTTCCTGCAGCTGCCTGTCCCTCTTACCCTGCCCGGCTCCAGCTGACCAGGGAAGGGGTGGGCTGAACTGAGGCGGGGGCAAGGGAGTGCCCGACATCTTGTCCGACTCCGCGGGTGATACAAGCCGGTTCTCTCTGGACTGGGTGGCAGCGCGCGGCCCCGAACCGCGCCCCAGGCCGGCAGGCGGGGAAGGAGCCGGTGGGGGTAGGGGGTGCGGTGGGGGGTGGGGACCCTCCGGCTGTTGGGGGTCCCAGTCCCCGCCGGCTGCTGAGCGGGTAGGGTGGTGGAGGAACTGCAGAGATGTCCGGCCAGAGCCTGACGGACCGAATCACTGCCGCCCAGCACAGTGTCACGGGCTCTGCCGTATCCAAGACAGTATGCAAGGCCACGACCCACGAGATCATGGGGCCCAAGAAAAAGCACCTGGACTGTGAGTGAAGCCGACCGCGGCCCCCCTCCCAGACGCCCGCGCGACCCGCGTCCTTCTCTCCCTCTCTTTTCTTTCTCCCGTCTGCTGCCTCTTCCCTCCCTGCGTCTTCTCTGGCACGGCGGGTCCTGTGCCCGTTGGGCTGTGTTCTTTTGCTTCCATCACACCTGCCTTCACGGCCTCCGCTCCCCGTCTCAAAATCTGACAAGCCAGTCCCCTCCCTATTCCTAAGGGACCCTCGCCTCCTGTCTGGTGCGCTACCACACCCCATCATACCCAACCAACTTGCCTCCCCACCTGGCTTCTCACCCCCTACCCGTCTCCACTGCAGCCTTCTGCTCTCCCTTCCCACCCGTCCGGTGCCGCCTTGTCGCCCTCGCCTGAGCGTCTGCCCAGCCCCATTGTTTCTTCATCAGCCTTCTTCGGGTTTCCGCAAACGCCTGGTTCCTTGCACCCAAATCCCTGTTATCCCTCCGGGCTGCCTCCCTTGAAGTGATCCCCCACTTCCTTTGCTCCACTAGCTGCTTCTCCCATCCGTTCCTGGCTTTCTCGTCTACCTTGCCTCCCGCGTTTGGGTTACCTTTCATCGCCTCTCTAGTAGCTTCAGTGTAGTTTTTTTTGACTCATTTTATTTTAAACACCATACCCACTTACCCGACTTTTATTTCAGATTACCTTCTTTGTGAGATTGAAAGTAAAAGGATTCAATTTGGTGTAGGGAAAGCTTTCTGGAAAGTTGGGATTTTTATTTGCCTCTGGTGGAATTTAATCATTGTGTTGTCCATACTTTTGACTGGGGTGAGTTTGTGACTGTCACCTCTGCCCCCCACCTTTTCAAATGGGGAGCTGGAGAAAGGCTTTTTGCTGATACTCTTATCAGTTCCCGGAACTGTTAACTCTGGCGGCTTGAATTCAGAAGCTTGAGTGTTAAGCGTAGACTGTTGGAATTCCAAATGGATTGATAAATTTACTTACAAATAACATACATCCCTTAAAAAACATTGGCGAAATGATGTTTGATGATGCTTGAGTTTGGATACGTTTTAATTATGCCAGTTACCTTTTGAGGAACCAGCTTCTCTTACACGACACAGTATTCGTCCGTTCGCTAACGTAGATACAATTAGTAGAGCTGACTCCTCGCAACTTTTTTCTAACCTGGAAGTCACCTGTAATATCCTCCTTTTTCTTTGCGCTCTTTTACCTCAGGGTACAAAGCTCATTGGATCACTCAAGCCAATGGAGCTTAGACCTGAAACTTTTCAGGGAAAAATAGGGAAATAGTCACGATAAATAAGTTCTCTTTTTAAATGACTGAACACATTAGTCTGACTGGCTTTCATCATACATGAAAGTTACTTTGCTTTACTGTTTGAAGCAAGAGTGAGCATGCCCTGAAAGATAATTCACTGTCTGGAAGCCTGTTTTGATTTCTCATTTGGACTTTGGCCGTCAAGTTTGCACTTTAAAAAAAAATGTACGAAATGTAAATTCTTCCAAGTTACTGTGCTCATGAATACTGTTAGAACAAGTTTTTGCTACACAGAAGCCCATTATTCGTTGTGATTGTTCCTCCACTGTGGAAAAAGTTTTAAATAAAAAGCATTAGTGCTTGGTTGTTTCAGATATGCGTTCAAGCTGCTTTTAAACTCTCAGTCCTTGTTTGTCTTAGAGAATGGAGAATATATTTAAATGGTGACACTTATAAACAGAAAACTTTTTAAAATGCATCGTAAAGCCATATGTGATTTTTTGATTATCTGATATGTGTAGTAGACGTTTCTACTATTTAGGCTCTTCAAGTGACTACTTGGTTTGCCCTACCAAATCTTACAGTTTGCCCTGACACTGTGTTAATTCTTCTGTTAGTTGTTTGTTTGTTTGTTTGTTTGTTTGTTTTGGTATGAGAGTATGAAGAAACTGCTTGTGACTGTGTGAACTATTTTCCTCTTTCCTCATTCAAAATAATAATCGATAAGTCTTTTTAAAGTTTTTTATAAAGGTTTGTGTCTTGTTTCAAATGTACCAGTGGTTCTTTTAACGCATTGCCAAAAAGAGGAGAAAATAGGTAGGGTTGGAAGAGTGCTATTTGCATGTGGTTTCATAAATGTTATTAGCTATTTCTCTTTTTTTAACCACTACTGCAGATGCTAACTGGGATTAGGTTTGGAGGATAATCTTGCATTTGTCGTTCTTTTTCTCTTCCACTTCTGTTTTTACAAGCTCTCACCTTTTTGGAACTTGAGTATACCTGGTAGTATTTGATTTAAAAATATATGTGTAGATAGTGTACTTCTATTTCTTTTCAATGAGGTTTTAAAATACTGGAATACTATTTTCCCTACATTGTTGTTTAAAATGTCCTGTAATCAGTTCTCACTAATAAAATACCTTTATCTTAGGTAAAGTCTGACCAGTGAGTGGTTTACTAAACAAATACCTTCCTTGCACACACTAACATGCTTTGAGAAAATTTAAGAGTCTTCTACGGACAGTTCATGGTGTTGACATCATGAACTTTAGGCTTTAATACAGAAACCTGTCATTTCAAGTACTTTTTCGTCTTTTAGAAGTTTTTCTTTATAGTGAAAGCTTAGTTTATGTGCACCTTTTAATGCCTCTAGCAACTGATGCTTATTTATATGAATCTAATGAAAATGATTTCATTTTAAAATGGCAGCATTTAACAAAAAATATGCTTAGGACTGTTGGTTTTCCTATGAGCTCTTAGAGTGTGGAGGTGGTTTCTGTGCAGTTTCTCGCCAAGATCTTTCCATATTAGGAAGTGATTATTAATAATCCATGAATTATAGCTTAATTCATACTACATTATATATTTATTGAAGAAAGATCTTTTTGCTTTGCTTATACTGTAGGTGTTAGTGGATAATAACGTTGACTAGCATCCCTAGTGTGAAAGCGTTGTCGAACTTGGAATATGTCTGTAAAAATAAACATGATTTCCCTTTAATTTTAGGCTTTTAGTAGCCATAATCAAGGTAGAGGCATAGCAGTCCTTATATTTGAAGGACTTCAGTTTTCCAGGCACTTTCTCGTCATCTCATTTAATCCTGTCTCACAGCTGCAGGTGGGGGCAATTCATATACATAGAAAGTAGCCTCTAATTCTGTTTAGCAGTATAGAATGCTTAAAAGAACCATAATTATTGCAGGATAGAAAAAAACATTTTTTTCTTTCTTTTTTTTTTTTTTTTTTTTGAGACGGAGTCTTGGAGTCTCGCTCTGTCCCCAGGCTCAGGTGCAGTGGTGCAATCTTGACTCACTGCAGCCTCCGCCACCCAGGTCCATGCAATTCTCCTGCCTCAGCCTCTTGAGTAGCTGGGACTACAGGCGCATGCCACCACACCCAGCTAATTTTTGTATTTTTAGTAGAGACAGGGTTTCACCATGTTGGCCAGGATGGTCTGGGTCTCTTGACCATGTGATCCTCCCGCCTCTGCTTCCCAAAGGGCTGGGATTACAGATGTGAGCCACCGTGCCTGGCCCACAATTTTTAATTTATAACTTCTTAATATATAAATCATTTTTATCTGATCTTACAATCTTTAGTCTTAACCCACCCTTTTTTTTAATATATAGAATCTTGCTCTGTCACTGGTGTGCAGTGGCAGGATCACAGCTCACTGCAGCCTCATCCTCCTCAGGCTCAAGAGATCCTCCCACCTCAGTCTCCCAAGTAGCTGGGACTACAGGCATGTGCCACTATGCCTGGTTAAAGAAACTTTTTATTTTTGGAGAGATGAGGGTCTCCCTATGTGGCCCATGCTGGTCTTGAACTCCTGGGCTCAAGTAATCCTCCTGTCTCAGCCTCCCAGAGTGCTGGGATTACGGAGCCTCCCAGAGTGCTGGGATTACAGGTGTGAGCCAGCATGCCTGTCCCTTATCCTATTTTATGATACGAATTCTTAATTTTCTTTATTCTTATTTACTATCCTTGGACGTTTATATTTTGACATATGTCAGTGAAATGTAATATTTGTACTAAAGGCTGTAATGTCTCCTTTTTTTTTTTTTTTTTTTTTTTTTTTTAAATGAGGTGGGTCTCACCCTGTTGCCCAGGCTGGAGTGCAGTGGTGCAATCACATCTCACTGCAGCCTTCACATCCGGGTTCAGACAATCTTCCTGAGTAGCCGGGACCATAGGCACCTGCTACCACGCACAGCTAATTTTTAATTTTTGTATAGACAGGGTCTCCTTATGTTGCTCAGACAGGTCTCAAACTCCGGGGCTCAAGGATCCTCTCTACCAGCTGAGCCTCCTAAAGTGCCAGGATTATAGGTGTGAGTCACCATATCCTGTATGTCTCTGTTTTTTAATTCATATTTTTCCCAGTTAATTTACAGGGACATTTCATTTCACCCACTGCCTTATCTTTTCTAAAAATCAAGATCAAGTTCTTACTAAGCATCCATTATCAGCATACCTCTATGGTAGATACAGAATGGTTATTTGTATGTTGTGAACTGAATCTAGAAATTGGAAATAAGTTTTTAAAAAGTAAGATTTGAATATTTTGCTTATGTAGAAGGTGGAATTTGTATTTGGTCTAGGGGTTTGTGTAACTACATTAAAAATGTATGTAACATACCAAACTGTACCTGAATTAATTCTCTTTTAAAGCACAAATGGTTTTTAATGTTTCAGTTAATATCATGGGTGCTTAGTTTGTGTATTGTCAAGAAGGATCTGGTAACTAGGATGTGGTTTCTAAGAAGATGCAGATAAGGAAATAAAGTAGAAGATCTGTCCCAGGATATCTCTTATTTAAAAGTAAGGTAACTGGGACTTTTTTTTTTCAAAAGGATCTGGTTTTTAAAAGACAGTTATTTTGTAATTAATGTCTGGGCTTCCTATTCTTTCCTATAAGAATTAGTCATATGATTTATATTTTCATTATCCTTACTAGTCTTTTAGTAGTTTTGCAATACAGAAAATAGTAATAGAGTTATCAAAGTGGTAGTAATGAGTAAGATTTGATTATT